TGCTGTTTGAAAACATCTGTCCAGATGCCGCAGATAGATTTAAGCTTGTGTTTTGGTTGAGCCGTATGAGTGAGAATTTACACAGGGTTATAACCATCTGGCTTTTTAAATACTGCATCTACCACTAGTTAAAAAATGTCAATAACTCCACCAGTCTCCATGGAAACCACCCTCAGTGAGTCTCGTCCATTTTCATTGATGTGACTTTTATCTGAATCATCAGTCAGATTTTCATTGAGTTTGTTATTATTGCAAACACAGAAGAAGAGGAGATGATCAAGTTAAGCTTTGGTGCTATTTATTTATTGGTGAAAACCCTGTTTACTGAATGCATTTGGAGTTCAATTCAATAGTAATGAAAGTCTGCTCATTATTAATGTACTAAACTATCTGATCACTATTTATACAAACAAGTCAAGAAGCAGACGGCCAATTATCAAACAACACTGTTTCCTGAGTGATGGTTAGGAGGGGGTGGATTTCTTGTCTCTAAAGATGATATTGACTAGAACCATAATGAAACAACACATTCTACCCAAGATCCAAGAAGTACCACCATCTTCAGCCATTAGAGCTGCTGCTTCATCTGTGCCTGCTTTATCCCAGCCCTGCAGACAGCCTGTCCAAAGTTGCTTCCATCACTGCCGCAACCACAGGGCCTCAGATTTATTAATAAAAACCAAGGCAGACTATTAGGCAGAAGGAGAGTTGCAGTGAGGTGGGAACCTCTGTCAGACAAGGAGAATTCCAGTCAACAATGAATAATCAGTGGATCATTATCTATACCTAAAAGTTACATGTTTACAGTGATTTAAATTTAGCATTAATCAGTAAAAAATTAAGAACAAAAATTTTCATTGCGATCACAGAGTCCAGGAGCGGCCATTTTTGCCCAAATATAGTAACATCTCACTCCTAACATCTTCCGGCAGTGACGTCACGGTGCGGTAAGCCTAGCGCCATTCTCCCCCCTTTTTCAAGCAAAATCAATGGGAACTACTAGACACATCTGCAATCAACAACAATTATTGAAGATTTCCAGAGGACTTCACCATTGAAATTCACCAGAGCTGTAGTGAAACTGACAATGCCCACGTGCATGGCAGCTGGATGTTGGAATATATTGGGTAAAAGAGAAAAAAACATGAGTTATTTCACCTTTCCGATTCCTGATCCTCCACGGTCGGGTTCGTCGTTGGATTGCCAACTTGAAGAGGGAGGATTTGCCATCGAACTTCTCGCCAGAGAAAAAACACATAATATGTAGCCAACATTTGGAAGAAGAATGTTTTCAAGATGACTTGGATAATAGCGCATTGTGACAAACACCAGATACAGCACTGGGACTTGATCAAGAGCCGATACCGCACCGTGACGTCACAAACCAGTAGGTGGCAGTAGTGTTCTTTGACAAACATGGATGCCTCCAGTAAATCACAATCAGATGAAAATTACTCTAATTTAAAAACACTGATCATTTACTGAACAGTATGGAATAATTTAATATTTAAAGTAGTTTCAGAGGTTTGAATTCTGAATGTGACCAGACTTTTCCTTTAAGAACTGATTTACAACCAAAGAGGTGCTTCTCCTTAATTGATTCATTTCACTGAATAAAATCAGTTTCACTTTCAGAAATCTTTAGTGTGTTTAACATTCACCATTGAACTGTGCTGTTAATGATTTAGGGTCAGGAGTGAATTATTCTCTATCACACACCTGGAATACCACCAACATGGCTTGTGTTCATGCTTCAATATATAAATAGGGATTATAAAATAATTAGTTTTTAGTAATTTAGAAGGAACTAAATCACTGTGTAAAGAAGTTCTTGTTAAAGCTGGAAACACGTGACCTTCAATCTTCCAGTTAGTTTCTATCAAGAAGTTTACTATTTCTAGTTAAACTTTAGTTTCTTTGCAGCTTAAAGAATGAAGTTTGAGCTCATTTATTGAAATACTGGATATTTCTTTCTCAGCCCTTTAACTGGTTGGGCCTCAGAGTATAATAATCTCTTGTGGATTATACTTATTTTCAGTCTAATCTGCCAGACATTTGAAATATGCATTGACACGGTGGTGAAGAGCCTTCTTAACCTACTGCTAATTCAGCCTCAGCCGAGGGTAAAATACCCACGACATCTCAGCCATGGAGCATTTCCTGAGGTTACAAATCTCTACCAGACGAGACAGACGCTAATCCAGTTTTAATGCTGGTTTCTGCACCGAGCTGTGATGTTCAGACCAGATCATGTCCCTCCGTTTATGGAAAGAAATGAAATGCTGCTGACTGATCAGACTGGAGGTAGTTTTCATCTGTTGGTGTAATATCACTAAATCAGGCATAGCTCACAGTCAGATATGGATCCAGCATATTAACTAAAGGCTCTATTGTGATGGTAATGATAAAACATAGAATCAGGTCCTCTTGTCTGCCTCTGAGATTTATAGTGAGTGAAACACCTCTCAGCTAATAGCAGGAAGCTGAGGCTAAAGTTGAGACAGTAACAGATCGTCCAATGAGTCTCCATTTCTTCTTTAACTCCAGGTCAGAATCTGGATAGTTTAAAGACAGCATAGTTTAGAGCAATGATTCCCAACCAGGGGAACTAGTTCCCCTAGTGGTCTACCAATGCATTATAGGGGGTCCGTGAAAACATTTCATATTTTACTTCCCAGATAAAGAATACAATAAAATAGGGCTGAGATGGGTTTTACTCTGTAAGGACCCAAATGCAAAACAAACAAAGATTTTATCAACCTAAATGATAAAAAAAAATGTCTTAATCAACATCTACATAAAAGACTAGAGTGGGTTTCGGTGCACTATCCTCCCAATATATCTGTATATTGGTTATTTTATTATCCAAGTGCACACTATTTATAGCGTTAAAACACTTTTCAGTTCAGTATTTTATTGTTTATCTTTTAACTCTTCACTATTATGTTATTCTTATACATTTTTTCCAAGGTCCACATTTGTCTTACCATTTCTTCTATAATCCTTTTGCTGCTGTAAACACCAGAATTTTCCCATTGTGGGACAATAAAGAGATTTTCTATTCTATTCTATTCTATTCTATTCTATTCTATTCTATTCTATTCTATTCTATTCTATTCTACAACTTCTCTGTAAGTAAGAGTGGGAACACAGGGGCAAAGACAAAGATCAGAAGAAAGTTAGTATTTAAATACTAGCAGTAAAGGATAAATGGATAAAATTAAGTGAAAACAAAGTAAAATTGAGAGGATGAATCTGAATATTATGTAATTTTTTTTTTTCCTGGTTGGTCAAGTTTAGATGTGTGCATAGGGGACTTCTTCAGAAGAGCTTTAGTTTTTTGTTAAAAAAAAACATAGATTTGGATAGATTTTATTCATTCTCCAGGAAACATATTTATGTTATTTTCTCTTCTAAGTAATAATTAATTATTACAAGAATTAAATAAAATGTCTGAGCTTTAAATGTTCCAGTTAAGGAAATTAAATAAATATTTTTCATTTTATAATCAATTCTATTTTCTATTTTTAGAAAATAATCAACATATTTGACCATGGGGGTACTGATGGTATGATAAAATGGATACATGTCAGAAAATGTTGGGAACCACTGGTTGAAACCACTGATTCCCTAAGTTAGCAACATGCATCAACAACATGGGGGTTTAAGATCCGCTGCAGAAATAAAACAATAAATACGATAATGAGAAAAAATATTTATGGATTTAAAGAGATGGATAGAAAATGTTTTTGATGCTGATTTTATTAGTAGAAAACTTTTTTATTGTTTCTAATCCAAGCAACAGTTTTGGGTCATTAGTCCTAAAATGTTTGGGAGCCTTTGGTTCAGAACAGACCAATATAACCATCATCTGATGATGCATTATGCACAATGATTGGTTCATTGTCATGCTTTACTTACTGTGTTTGTTGAAAGAACATAAACATTCTAACAAATTTTCCTCTAAATTCAGATTTCAGACAGGATGACATACATTAAACCAGAGCTCATTTATAACCTTAACATTAGAAAGGTTATAAATGGCCTGGTTGGTGCAGTAGGCCGCGCGTCAGTCTCATAGTCGTATTTGTAGGAAGTGGCGGCCTAGTAGTTACGACATAGAGCTTGGAATCCAGAGGTTCTGATTTCGAGACCCACTCCCACAGACTGCCTCTCTGAGTCCCTGAGCAAGACCCTTAACCCCATACTGCTCCCCAGGTGCTGCACGATGGCAGCCTACTGCTCCCCAGGGGGATGGGTTAAACGCAGAGAGTTAATTTTGTTGCTCTGTACTTGAGACAGTGTAATGTAAGTAAAAAAAAATAAAACAAAAACAGTAGAAAAAAAATTTAAATGGAAATAAAACTTAACATATAATTAAAATATAAATATAAAATCTAAAAAGGGATGGATGGGGAACGTCTTACAGAATCGGACCCATCTGCAATCTGGGCTCCACCTGGACAGATTTTCCCTGTTTTGATGCGGCTGTTACGTTACGTCACGTTGTTTTTTAAAACGTATATAACTACCGAGCCATTTAGAGACAGATATTTGTGTAGAGTAGAGACTAAAAGTGAGAAGCACTCAGAAAAACATACTCAAGTAAAGCAAGGATTCAGAAAAAAGCCACTTAGCTACAGTAATGAAGTATTTATGTTTGGTTACTGGACACCTCTGCATGCCAGTGAGTTCACTGCAACCCGTTCGCTTCCACAGACCCCAGATCTCAGCTCAGATCTCAGCTTGTGGTGAAACAGGAGGTTCACGTTATGGATGTACAGCTAGAAGCTATTTAACTGGCTGCTGACTGGATGTTTACAGTTAGCTTGATTTGGTCACTTCTTGCTGATTGTTCCTAAAGAGATCCCAGCTGCCGGGCAGGAGAAGGTCGGCCTCCTCTGCACAGCGATTCCCCTGATGACTCTGTTGTAAATGAAAAGTTTTTTATGCTTGATGTTGATGATGGTGATGATGGAAGTCCCTTCTGCATCTTTCAGAACACGTACACCAATGCAGACAAGCTGCTGGAAGCGGCCGAGCAGCTGGCTCAGACAGGAGAATGTGACCCAGAGGAAATCTACAAGGCAGCCAGACACCTGGAGGTGCGGATCCAGGACTTTGTTCGGCGGGTGGAGCACAGGAAGCTGCTGCTCGACATGTCCGTGTCCTTCCACACACACACCAAGGAGGTGGGCTGTGACCTTTGACCTTAGGTGGTCATACAGTGGCATGGATGGGCTCTGTGGATGGGCTGATGATGTGTGTGTGTGTGTGTGTGTGTGTGTGTGTGTGTGTGTGCAGCTTTGGTCGTGGATGGAGGAGCTGCAGAAGCAGCTGCTGGAAGACGTGAGCTGCGACTCGGTGGACTCGGTCCAGACTCTGATTCAACAGTTTCAGCAGCAGCAGACGGCGACGCTGGAGGCGACGCTTAATGTGATCAAAGAGGGGGAGGAGCTAATGCAGCAGCTCAGGTATCACACTGCGGCCCTGATAACAGGAGAGCTGCTGTGCTCATGATTACTATAAACCTCGTTTAAATGTTAAATATAGCATTTCTGTACATGGTTTTCATTTTATTTACATATATAAAAAAATAAGATTTTAAATCACAAAGAAAAAAGTTCAGAGTGTTACTTCCAGCTTGATTTCTGTCCCAGTTAACCCAGTTAGCCCATTACTGGCAGGAATCCTTGAAATAGAAAATTTCACCTTTAGAGATAAATTTTAAATTACAATGGATTATGCTATTTTTTTTTTTTTTACAGATTATGTTGTCTGAAGTCAGGCACTCATCAGATAATTCATGCTAACATGTTAGATGATGCTGTTAAATATCTCCTAAAATTTGCATTTGCAAACTTAAAATTCAGACCTTAGTGTCCTAAACTGCTTACCATACTATTTATAACACAGACCCTTTGGTGTTTTTATATTCCTTTATTACCAGAATCTTCGGTCTGTTTTATTGGGATTTCATGTGAAACACCAACAAATTAGTGAATAACTATAAGTGGAAAGAAGATTGTATTTTTGCTGCATGTTCTTTCTACTAGCTCTGCTCATCTAGAGGCGGGACTATTTTCCCTCTCATAACAGCTGAAGCTACTTTAAATCAGATCCAAACGGGAGGAAATCAAGTCACATCTAAACTCATCTAATCTATGGGATTTAGGTCTGGACTTTGACTAGACAATTCTAATGAATGAAAATAGTTTGATTTATACTTAAAAGAGTCACCATAAGGCTGAAAATCAGATTAATAAGTCCCTTTGGCTGACATCAGGGCTTCCTCCCAGATGTCAGTAATTTTAGGCTGAAACTGTAAATTAAAATGGATAGTTTGAGTTTTAATGTGCGTAAAACCATGGAAACTGTATTTTTAAACACTTCTACCTACTTACTTGTACATATTCATGTGCTGTCAAAACGTGAACCCCACCCCATTAGGACTGACGTATTCTTCTTCTACTTAGCCAATTTATCGCTATATTTAGCGTCTTTTCGGATCCTTCTAGCAATTTTTTTTTATTAGCAGCACATCTAGTGATTATTTCCTTTCTTGTTGGAGACTTTTGTGACAACATCAGAGCACAGATCAAAGTTTGCTGTGTTCATCGAGCAGTGAGCATTTCCTTCTCGCTGTTCCGATAGGAGAAGCTAACCGTGTTTAAAAGGGCGTGTCTAGAGGGATAAACTATTTCTATCATTCATTGCATTTTGGCAAACAATTGATGGATGTAGACCAGCATGTTGGATGTGAGCTGAACTGCAGGTTTCTGCAGCTCTTCCAGAGATTTCCAAGAACCTCTTGGCTGCTTCACTGTTGTCAATAGATGGTCAGCCGGTTAAGGAACCTGTGGAGCTTTTTCAAAGCAAACTAAATTTTGTTTGTCTGATTCTTTTGATATAGTGTTCAGGAGGACAAACAAACATTCTTTATGTCTTCCAATGCTGTAAAAATTTATATAACAGACATATTTGAACAATAAATGTAAACATTTCTATAGATTTCATAGCTTGCGACACACTTTTCAGCACGGCTCAGTGCCAGGCAGGTAGCTGATGGAAACACAGTGGTGGATGCACTTTATTTAAATTTTATGTATTTAAATTATTTCCATTTACATAGCCTTCTTACCCTATCAAAAGGCTGTTGTTGCAGGCTGCGTTTTACTGCACTGTTCCCTCGATAAGGTGGAAAAAGAGGATTTTATTTTTACTGTGGTTTGAAGAGGACTGCATTTTATTTCCAGGTGGAGGTTTGAAATTACAGAAGTCTTATTATGCATATTCCATTTTTTTTTTCAAATCTTCAAACTAAAAATAACACCAAAAATCAGATTTCTTTATTGTAGGTCTATCATTGTAAATGTAAATCCCTATATTGTCCCACAATGAAGAAATTCACTCTCTGCACTGAACCCATCCCCTTGGGGAGCAGTGGGTTGCCATTGTGCGGCGCCTGGGGAGCAGTGTGGGGTAAAGGGTTGTAGGGATCAAACCAGGTACTTGCAACATTCTCAGAGCACAAGCACTGCTCTAACCACTAGGCCAACACATCCCATCTCGATTGATGTAAGAGAACATCATACATTAATGTCGTGATGGAAGTTAAACTTAAAGCATCAAATATCGTACAGCACATTAGTCACATGATGAGTGATTTTCTATAGCATGTGCTGCGGGGAAAATAAACATTTAATCATGAATAATTATTATGTATTTAAGCCTTTACATTTTGTGGCTCCAGACAGACCTGTTTTTTGTTTTTTTGCTGCAGTATGTCTCTTTGAACATTTTGGGTTGCCGACCCTGATTCAGATATAATCTTAATTTCTCCTCCTCTCCAGCAAGATAAAACACTTTTTCTTTGTTGAAATAATCAGATAAAAAACACGACGACAACGCCAAGTAGAGGTCATTTACCAAGGTTTGTGGTTATAACATAACCAAATGTGATATAGGTGATAATCTGCACTAATGGTTTACAAAGTACTCTCCTGCTGTAGTGAAATGTCCACTGTGTGTCCTGAGCATTCTAAGAGGAAGAAAAAAAATGAAGTTTTCCCTTTTCTAGGATTTTGCAGTCTACATGTGATAATAAACATGGAGTGAGTTGTTAAGTCCAACCAACCTCACATCTCTTTCTGTTTTTTAGAGACGCAGCCATGTCGACCAGCAAGACGCCTCACTGCAGCTCCATCGCACACATCCAGGGGGTGCTGCAGCAGCTGGATGAGGCTCAGGGCCAGATGGAGGAGCTTTTCCACGAACGCAAAATCAAGCTGGACATTTTTCTGCAGCTGCGCATCTTTGAGCAGTACACGCTAGAGGTCAAAGAGCACGAGAACGTCCATCTTTAGTCGGAGGCTGGCGGCCACTCTCTGCCTCTGACACCTTCTTACCGTCCTTTTATAGGTGACATCAGAGCTGGACGCCTGGAACGAGGATCTGTCTCGTCAGCTGAAGGACACCAACCGTTCGGGAGGCAGCAGCAGTAGCAGCAGCAGCAGCGGTAGCTCCTCGTCCAGCGGTGCCGAGGATATAAGCCTGGCAGAGCAGCGGCTGAAACGGCACGCAGAGAGGAAGGCCGCCATGAACAACATGACCTACGAAGTGATGCAGCAGGGTCAGGACCTCCATCAGTACATCATGGAGGTGCAAGCATCAGGTAAAGTTAAGACTCTCTCTGTCAAAGTCTCCCTGTAATCAACATTTCTGCAAGTTTGCAATCAGTTGTTTACTTAGTAATAAAACAGAGAAAAAAAAGTCCAGATCATTATTCAATTCAATTCAATTTATTTCTGTAGCGCCAATTCACAACACAGGTCATCTCGAGGGAACTTAAAAGTTCAAATAGATCATACAGTAAAATTGATTCAGTTTTCTATCTAAGGAAAACCAGTAGATTGCATCGACTCATTGACTCAAATACAATCCCTCAAACTAAGCATGCTTGTAGCGACAGTGGAGAGGAAAAACTCCCTTTGAACAGGAAGAAACTTCCAGCAGAACCAGGCTCAGCGTGAGCGGCCATCTGCCGAGGCCGAATGGGGTTCAAGGAGACAGAAGCAGAGATACAAAAGGCAGCTGTAAGGGGTGGCCCCGTCCAGGAAACACACAGCCAGGCAGACGAGCTCCAAGCCAGCTCCCATGTCAGAGGATGGAGAGAGCACATCCAGTTAGTCACAGTCAGAGAAACAGGACTACACTGGAAAACAGGTCGATCTCCAGTTAGAAGAGTAATCAGAGCACTATTATTTTCTCTCGTGCATGAAAACTTATATTGTCGTTATTTTTCATAGAAAATGGATGTAGCCCCTTCATATATGTCCTTGTTCTTACTTTATGCTGACAGTTTTGCAGAGATCACGACTTAGACGCCAGATCTCAGATCAGCTTCTCTGATTGGTTTCATGTCACGTCGGGCAGCAAAAGTTCAGATTTTCCAGTGTCTGACACTTTGGATGCACTTCAAACCCTTAAAAACTCACGATGCGCCACTTCAGACGGTTGAAATGCTTAAAAGCGTCCTGTGCCTCTCAGCGTCCCTTGATACTCACTATAAACCGGATAACCCTGGCGCTATAAAGGCATTTAGTCTGAACGCAGCATAAACAACAAAGCCATTGCTGATGTTCTTGCTCCTTGGCATTGTCTGGACGCTCCAGACCAGCACACCTCTAAAGATCCTTCTGTTATAGACATGGAATCTGTTTGCTACTTTCTCCTAGATGTGTATGGAAACAGCAAAGCTGGACTCTGCCGTTTGTTTCAGAGGGAATTCTGCTTATTATTGTTCTGTAGATGTTGTATTTAACCCTGATCCTACTGAAGGCTTCTTCTTCCATTTCCTTTTTCATACTTTTAAAATGATTGTTAATGCATCATTAAATATCTACAGTTTTCTTGTAGATGTCCAAATTGGAGAAGGAGTTGTGTGGCTATAACTGATCTGATCAGAACATTAAATGAAGCTCTAAGCTCTTTGCTGCTTCCTTGTTTCTGTTGTCACTCAGCTCTAAGTACGTGTGTCTTCTTTTAAGGGATCGAGTTAACGGGAGAGAAGGACATGGACCTGGCCTCCCAGGTGCAGGAGCTGCTCGAGTTCCTCCATGAGAAGCAGCAGGAGGTGGACATCAGCGCGCAGCACACACACACAAGGCTGGAGCAGACCCTGCAGCTGCGCCACCTACAGGCCGAGGTCAAACAGGTAAACAGATCTGCAGCTTACGCTGGCATTGCCTCTCAGCAGGTTTTACCATCTGCTGAGATATTAAAGGTCTGTATTTATAATATCTGATGAGCTTTGCTCTGATCTCAAGCCAGAAGAGACTAGAGAAGAAAGTCCTAAAAAGGACATAAAGCAGCAGAAATGTGGAGCGGATTTTATGATTAGCTAAAAATCTGGATGTGGAAAGGTTAGTTCATGTTGGAACAATGACAAGAACAACACCCTGCTTAACACCCCCCCCACCCCCCCACCCCCCCCCCCTCTCTTTCAGCCAAGTTGTTTCATCTGCAGATGGGAACACGTTGTGTGCAGACAGGAAGCGCAGCACTGCTGCTGCAGATGGAAGCAGCTGAATAATGAATGAGCTTTAAGGCGACAAGCTAATAACCCTCATCTGTGCAGATCTTGTTCTATCTTTCTGTTCTGTAAAACTGATCATAGATTTATTGCAAATTGTGTGTAAACAAGCGGAGGTCTGACTTACCGTCATGGAGCTCTCCTCCTTAGATAGCCTCCTTGCTATCTGCAATCCTAAATAAAAGCAGGACTACCTGTCTGCAGCATTAATGAGCTGATGCAGTGAGGAGACAATGAATGTATGCATTTAGTGAAAGCTCACGTATTTACCAGGGTTTCTGGATGTTACAGTCAGAGAAAATAGCTTTGGATTGTCAAAGAGCAAAGCTGATTATGTTAAAAAGTACCGTCCACAGAAAGCTGGTGGAATTATGAAAAAATTCAGTAGATTTGAAATTGAAAAAAAGCTGCTTTTTTTAAAACGGAATTTTCCTTAAAGGAAAACAATGTAATCAATGGATCATTATTTATACCTGAAACCAATATTTTAATAGTAATGTAATGAAATTAGCATTAATCAGTAAAAAAATAAAATAATTGAGTCTGGGAGCGGCCATTTTTGTCCAAATATAGTAACCCCTCCCTCCTGCCATCTTCCGGCAGTGACGTCACGGTGCGGTAAGCCTAGCGCCATTCTCCCCGCTTTACAAGCAAAATCAATGGGAACTACTAGACACATCTGCAATCAACAACAATTATTGAAGATTTCCAGAGGACTTCACCAGTGAAATTCACCAGAGCTATAGTGAAACTGACAGTGCCCACGTCCATGGCAGCTGGATGTTGGAATACATCGGGTAAAAGTGAAAAAAAAAAAAAAAAGTTATTTCACCTTTCTGATTCCTGATCCTCCTCGGACGGGTTGGTCGTTGGATTGCCAACTTGAAGAGGGAGGATTTGCCATCGAACTTCTGGCCAGAGAAAAAACATGTAATATGTAGCCAACATTTGGAAGATTGTTTTCAAGATGACTTGGATAATAGCGCGTTGTGACAAACACCAGATACAGCACTGAGACTTGATCAACAGCCGATACCGCACCGTGACGTCACAAACCAGTAGGTGGCAGTAGTGCTCTTTGACAAACATGGATGCCTCCAGTAAAGCATATTCAAATGAAAATTACTCTTAATTAAAAACACTTGTTTATTGAACAGTATGTAATGATTTCATATTTAAAGCACCTTCAGAAGTTTGAATTCTGAATATGACCGGACTTTTCTTTTAAAAGTTGAGATTATCAGTTGAGTTACTGGTTAAATGAGCAGGAATTAATTATACACGAATAGTTCAGTTAGTCATATCACCATATAAATATCTACCACACCTTTTAGATATCTTTGTTCATGTTCTTCTCAGTCTAAAGCAAACCTTTTTATTTGGAAGCAAATTTCTGGTGCCGTTCCTCCAGCTGGATGCTGTTATTTAAGCTTTGATTAACTTCTTGTCAACAGAAAACATTTGACTCTGCCTTTGCTATGTTTATGACTAAACAGATGATAACTGTGACCTGATGGAAAATAATAGAAAACAGTCACAAACAGTCACTGGTTCATGCCCTCTCCCCTCCATTTGGCCGTTTGTTTGTGTTAAGCTCTGATTGGCCACCAGAGGGTGGGACAGAGGAGCATCAGATCATTCTCCCCGCCTGCTAAAAAGGTCAAACTAATGTGGGAACATTCATAGTATTTAGTTATTTCAAACAATTTTTTATTCTTCAGCGTTCAGTTTAGGGGAATCCAATTACCCCTTTAACCCCCATTTTTGCTGATAACATCTGATTTTATGTTTACAATTATGTAATCAAACAGACTAATTGTCAAATTTGAGTAATTCACGATATGAAAGTACAAAAATAGATAACATGATAGACTTAGGCTTAGACTCAACTTTATTTATTCCTTGGGATTACTCCTATTCTGGTTCCAGTAGCCTATATAGAGTACAAAGAGTTAAAGCAAGATGCCATTAAAGATCAAAATACAACAGACAATATAAAAAGAGTGTATACAGTATAGTACAAAAAAGCATAAAAAAGAATAAAGATGTAATGTTCTGGAATATGTTTCTCTTAGATATAAAAATATCTGCACAATAGAGAGCTAAGGAAAGACTATACAGTAGTTAACTTGGATTATTGCACTTGTTGTGCAGAAATATACTGACCATATAAATAAGTAAGATATTATACTGACTACAGTAGTTAACTCGGGTAATTGCACAGTGAGAAAAAATAAAATGAGTGAAAATAGGTAATGTTTTGCATAAGATTATGATAATGATTAATGGGTAGGTAATGTGTTTATGTTAGGTAAGGATTAATTACCAGAATCAGAATCAAGTTTATTGCCAAGTAGGTTTGCAATGACAAGGAATGTGACCTGATGTTGTTGGTGCAGACAAAAAACTAAATAAGATAAAATATATATATATATATATATATATATATATATATATATATATATATATATATATATATATATATATATATACACACACAGAAGCTATATACACACAGTAGACTGTGCATTAATGTAATGCAGAAATCCTGAATGGGGGAGAGAACATTGCGGCTCTTGGCCTTGTTGATAAGGCCGGTAGCAGATGGAAAAAAACTGTTTTTGTGACGGGAGGTTCTGGTTCTGATGGACCGCAGCCTCCTGCCAGAGGGAAGTGACTGAAATAATCTGTGACTGGGGTGCGAGGGATCAGCCACAATCTTCCCTGCACGCCTCAGAGTCCTGGAGGCGTGCAGCTCCTGGAGAGATGGGAGGTTGCAGCCAATCACCTTCTCTGCAGACTGGATGACACGCTGCAGTCTGCTCTTGTCCTTAGCGGTGGCACCAGCGTACCAGATGGTGATAGAGGAAGTGAGGATGGACTCAATGATGGAGGAGTAGAACTGCACCATCATTGTCGTGGGCAGGTTGAATTTCTGCAGCTGCCGCAGGAAGTACATCCTCTGCTGGGCTTTTTTGGTGAGGGAGTCGATGTTCAGCTCCCACTTTAGGTCCTGGGAGATGATAGTTCCCAGGAAGCGGAAAGACTCCACAGTGTCAATGGTGGAGTCACAGAGGGTGATGGGGGTAGCTGTTATACAGTTATTAGTTATTTTTAACTGATCTCTCAATATCTCAGGTTACTGCTAATCGGTACAGTAGCCAGAAATTTTTACTGAAGTAACAACAGTGATATTCCAACAACAATATTATTCTCAATAACTGTGACCTGAAGGAAAATAATAGAAAACAGTCACAAACAGTGCATGAAAGAATGATGAAATAAAAAAGTTAATTAGTTTGTAAAGTTACTCGGGCAAATGTAATTAATTACCTTTAATCTCTTATATAAATCCAATTGAATAGAACATTGTTGAGGCCTGTTCCCCTCAGTGAAAAAAACAAAAACAAATGAAACACGAAATAAAAAAATTTAAAGCTCTAGCGAGCATAAAAACAATAGAATGAAGTAAAATAAAATCATTAATGCCATCATGCCAAATGTTTTTAAGAGAAGATGCAGTCTCTGTATTGGTTGTAGGAATTTCTTTCTGGACAGAAAGACAAGCCTGCAGTAAAGAGCCGAGGGACGGATGGGCTGTGTCCACCTGTGCTACGCTAACAGGCTGTTTCTGTTGTGCTTGTGTGTCTCTGTGGCCCTGCAGGTACTGGGCTGGATCCGGAACGGCGAGTCCATGTTGAACGCCAGCATGGTGAATGCCAGCTCTCTGTCTGAGGCCGAACAGCTGCAGAGGGAGCATGAACAGTTCCAGATTGCCATAGAGGTACACTCACATCTCACATCCTAATTACAGCCCCCCAAACCCGGTCTTTCTACTCGGGCGGTAATTATTTCAGCATGTATATTGGAATGAATAGTAACAGATGAGATGCAAACGCTGTCCCAATAACAATAGATGCTTTAGCTTCCTCTGTTTCCCTTGGATTTCCTGAGAGAACACCAGATCTGAATCTGAACACATGTCTGACTCACACCTTGGCAAAGAATGTCACCCCATAGGGTGAGGGAGGGAGGGAAAGGGGGGGTACTCAATAAGCTGCCAGACCCCACAAATGGAGGAAAGCAAATCCAAACACACACTCTCTTTGAAATCTCTGTTTGAACCAGGCTTGCCTTAATAATTATTTTATTCTGTACTGAACTTCAGGACTAACAGATGCTCAGCCTCACACACACACACACATCCTATGTCCCACTATCCTTATGGGGACTTTCCATGCGTTTTCATTACCTATTTCAGACCCTACCCATAACAAACACATACATGTCCCTAACCCTAAACTAAAGACGATTCACACCTTAGTCCTAAATCTGATCCGAACCCGTGAACCTTTCCCCACGGGGACCAGTCGCTGTAAGACCCCGCATTGTGTCCTATTCCTGAGAAACAATGTCCCCACAATGTAACAAAGAAGCCTCCAACAAACACAAGCTTTTATTTCTGCCCATATAAGGCATTTACATTTACCTTCATATGCCAAACCCTAACATCTATCCTAACTCTAACTATTATCAGTAGATACCTATAGATCGACCCCATAACATTTAAAATTGGGGGTCCTCTACATCAGGAGTAGACTGATGTAGGACCCCATAGGACCTGTTGGTTCTCATGAGGTTGGTACATACAGTAGCAGCCATTAAAAATGGCTCTTCCCAGTCAAAAGCCAGCCGAATGGCAGCAAATCCCCTCCAACTTCCAGCCACGGGCCTTCTCCTCGGCTTGCGTATTTTTTTACTCTGACTAGCCTTTCACTGAATTACAGGGTCTGACCAGGAGATCACGCTTCTCTTTGGATCATAATGTTAACAAATCATGACATAAAGAATATTTTAGTACAAAGATTGATATTTAGAAAGTAATTGTAGGGGACCAGCCAAGGGTCCATCAAGGAAAGTGGGGGAAATTTTGAATGGCTACTACTGTATATATAATGGCTACTACTGTGTATATAATGGCTACTACTGTGTATATCATGGCTACTACTGTATATATAATGGCTACTACTGTGTATATAATGGCTACTGTATATATAATGGCTACTACTGTATATATAATGGCTACTACTGTGTATATAATGGCTACTACTATATATATAATGGCTACTACTGTGTATATAATGGCTACTACTATATATATAATGGCTACTACTGTGTATATAATGGCTACTGTATATATAATGGCTCCTACTGTGTATATAATGGCTACTACTATATATATAATGGCTACTACTGTGTATATAATGGCTGCTGTATATATAATGGACCATGTGTGGATTCCCATTGATTTTCCCTAACTGAAAAAAATAACCCTAACCCTAAAAAATAACCCTAAACCTAACCATTACCAGTGCATACCTCACCCTAACCCTTAATCAGTTCACACCTTTACCCTGAACTTAACCTCAATCTAAAAGAAACTGGTCCTCACTCTTCTTCTAAAACAGGAGCACACAACCGCACAAACATATGAACCTTTTAAGGGACGATGACTTGAACAGTGATGATTATAAACGTGTATGATATGTATAAAAAGTTATTATACATTTACTGAAAGTTCTTCTCTCCTACAGTCTCTATTTCACGCCACTTCCCTCCAGAAGACTCATCAAAGTGCTCTGCAGGTGCAGCAAAAGGCTGAGGTAGGCCCATCGCCTGCTATTGTTCTCATTGTAGTCGTGATGGAAAAAGTAAACCTCATATCAGTCAGATTTGTTTTGTGTTTTTAAGATATTACACATCCACTACCATGAGCTAACACACACAGCTGAGAGGGAAAGTGGGAAAACTAGATTTCGTTTTCAGGGACAAAGTAGGAGATTTTAAGCGGACCATCTTTCACTTTGTAAGGATCCTGTCACACTTTGTCGATTTAGCCAGAGTATGCCCGACGTCCCAGAATCTTCTAAAATGCTGAACTTTCTATGTATTTTTCAATTTTGAGCATTTACATAGAGTATTCATAACAAATTCAGAACTTATGTCCAATAACAGCCTAACTTATGCATAACAGCGTAATGCCCATTAAATGATGCATTTACGAAGCATCAGTTAAAGCTGCTCTCCTCAGGCGCATCGGAAGCGCCCGGTCTGCATAAAAAAATGTCTTTGATCGCAGTATTAACCTAGCTGCTGTTTAACGCCCACCTAAAAAAAAAGAAAAAGCAAGAAAGAAGGTTTGCAGCTGCAGCAGATTCAGCATCATGTCTGCTAGGAAGTTTGTTTTTTGTGGCTGTGGGTGTGAACACAGGGAGGATTAATCACACTCACCTTCAGACTCTTTCCTCCTGTGAACGCTGCCAATACACCATTATACAGTAGCTGTGAGTCATGAACACGTCAAATACGTTGATATATGCGTTGGAGATAAGTTCTTGATAAGTTATGTATAAGTTATGAACAAGTTACTCATAGGTTTTGGATTGGCTAGACGCCATGACTTATGAGTAACCTACACTTATGCCCCACATATAGCATATGGCCGCTGACGTCGAGAAGTTTTGAGCATGCTCAAAACTTCTCGACGTACTTGCCATATGTTGAGATGTGCCAGTGTGCTTCAGCATGCTCATTTACAACTTATACAAAATGTACTCATAACTTATCCAATGTATGCCAGCGTTTTCGCAAGGTTTTTGGTAGAAGCCAGAATGATACATGTGGATTTCTAATTGAACTACACGTGTCGATCAGGGAAGGATCCTGTAGAAAACATTCACAAAGGGGAGGGTTATTCATGATTGGGTGCCTGCCTCCCAGGTCAAGTTTTAAGCCAATCACAGCAGCACTAGCAGCTTGATTTGTTTCACGACTAGTCGAGTTAACTGATAAATCAAACTCTTACCAAATCAGGCTGGGTGGAAGGTGCAAACATCTTCCCCTCCACTAAGGCAAAAATCATGTCCTTCTGCTTGTTTTTCATAAAGAAATAGATGGTATTCCAGCTAAAACCAGCGTAGCCATGTTTGTTTTGCTTCAGCCTTCCGCCTCTGGTTGACGCGTTGACGTCATAGACGTTATTCCATTGGTGATAATGTTTCTGAATCAAAGCTAATGCATCTATTGGCTCCTGGCAAGATGCTTTTTCGAATGAGTTTATGAATTCAAAAAGTCATCTTGTATCTTGGTTTATAGAAGTTGTATTCTGAGTTCAAAATTAGTTAAAGCAAAGAGTAGAACTAAGATAAATGGAAACGGGTTATGCAAGGTTTTCCAATGATATACAATGACATGGGAATTAGACATTTAGCTGCATTACTGATGACATTAAGCCACAGGATTTGGTTTAAGGACATGGGGACGAAAAACTTTTAAAGGAGGGAAATCGAAGAAGGATGCAACTAAAGATAAATATTCATCAGCGAAAGATCAAACAGTCCGAGAGCCGATAAAAACATTTTAAAGGTCTTTTATTGAATTAAGGAAAAACTTAAATGAAAAAAAAGGTTGTTTTTTTTTTTTTTAACGGGAGGCAAGTGACCCCCGTCACATCTACTGGCGCTGATATATTTATCAGGTGACCTAAGAAGTCACTCCTGGGAAAGCAAGAAGACCCTTCAGTTTCCATGGTAACCACCTGTTGTACCAGCAGATGAGTAAATCCTTCTCTGCCTCAGACATTCATGCACTGTTTTACCACCTGGACAGAAAGTTTACATCATCACTGCTGAGACCTGCAGACATGTCGCCATGGAGATGGTTATAAAGATTAACTTTGCTGTCCATAACTGTAAAGCAGTGAATATCCACTCATTTTATCCAGGGGCAAACATTAGAAAAAGGCAGTGAAGCTGCTCAGCCTCCATCTCCAAACCATCTGCATTCGATGCAACTTCCATCTGCCAGTAAGTCCAGCTGGACTGTCCTTCAGCTGTGCTCCACAATCACTACTATAAAAAACGTGAAAATGGCCTCTATTAAAACCAAAATGAACAAACCCTTCTTAAAGCTCAATGTTGCAGCAAACAGAATGGCTGCTGGTCTTAAACATTAGAAGAGAGGGAAAAAAATCATCACATGGCAGAGAAGTGCCATAAATACATAATAGCTTTTAGAAGCTGATATCTGTAAAAACTTTCATGACTTTTAAATATAACAATATTTTTGCTCATTAACAGGCTTTAACTGGCTGTATAATTGGTGATATATATAAGAATAATCTTTAATTTAACAAGTTGCATTGCAAATATACATAGTAATAACATTAAGCAGGGGTCACACTATTCCAGAACCATTAGATTAGAGCTGCATATAACCAATAAAGAGCAGATTAGAGGAATATTTAGCATGTCTGTCTGCTGCGCAGCAGGGAGCAAAGAGGAAGGAGATCTAAGGTGTAACTATTTGCATTCTCTAACTGTTTTCTCAACTGCAGATATAAACAGGGTATTACACTGAGAGAAACATTTCTGTGGCTCAATTAAGACAATTCTCTGAAGACGCATGTGAGAAAATGGGTTCAGAAAGACGCTAAAGGCTCACAAACACTTAATGACAGATTCAGGGTGCAGTTTCACAGCTGCTGTTAACTAAATGTCCTTGATAAATGATTATTATCACAGCAATCTCCTTTTTAAAAGCAGGAGTAAAATTATTTACAGGAAGAAAACACAGAAACCAATTCATTATCTTTCCGGAACTGGACATCCAACAGAAAATCCCTAATTAATTCTGACCATGAAATGCTCCCAGAGGTAAGAAAAAAAAAAGCGACAGCTCCTGTGTGTAAAGTTTGAAAGGGAAGACACAATACAGTATGATGGGAGACACTTAGAGCCCCATTCAGATGATCAACAGGGACCAAATCCAGAAAGGAGAAAACTTCAGAAGACTGAAAGTAAACAAACTATGGATCCTTAAAATTACAAGTCAATCTCTAGAGTTTAAGATAATATCTAAGTGCTGAATAAACTCTGGGGACGTCTCCATGGGGCTATCCTCAGAAATGAAGGGATGTGTGATGATTTAAAAGCATCACATGGTTTAGTGATTCCCATCCAATGGCTAATGTCTTTGAAAAACAGACGTTTCGAAGGCTGCTGGTGCCTATCTCCCGCTGTCTACGGGCGAGAGGCGGTGTCAATCCTGGACAGGTCGCCAGTCCATCGCAGGGCAACACAGAGACAAACAACCATTCACACACACTCACACCTAAAGAGAATGTCGAGAAGCCAATTAACCTAACATTCATGTTTTTGGACTGTGGGAGGAAGCCAGAGTACCCGGAGAGAATCCACGCTTGCTCAGGGACAACATGCAAACTCCATGCAGAAAGACCCCGGGCTGTGAATCAAACCCGGAACCTTCTTGCTGCAAGGTATCTGCTTACATCTGCCCTTTGTCCCTGACTCTCCCAGATGATGCTGCAGGCGGGTCACTATGACCCTGAGGCGATCCGCGGCTGTGCTGAGAAGGTGGCCGTCCACTGGCAGCAGCTGATGCTAAAGATGGAGGACCGCCTGAAGCTGGTCAACGCCTCCGTGGCCTTCTACAAGACATCAGAGCAGGTAATCTTCAGGCCTCCTTTCCCTTACACAGCCGGTGGAGTCTTCCAGCGATGATCCACACTGCTGCTCGGTATCCCGCAGGTGTGCAGCGTGTTGGAGAGCCTGGAGCAGGAGTACCGCAGGGATGAAGACTGGTGTGGGAGCCATGACAAACTTGGCAGTTCAGTGGAGAGTGATCATCTGCTGCCCCTGATCAGCAAGCACCTGGAGCAGAAGGAAGCTTTCCTGAAGGTGGAGTAACAGATCAGGCCGCTCATGGAGCTCCTCAGGTAGAAATGGCTGATGTCCAATCAAATCTGTGTGGACGCATTTTGTGATTTTAGGCGTGCACGCTGGCGCGGAGGAATGCTGAGGTGTTCCTGAAATACATCCACAGAAACAATGTGGGCACACCTGGAGCCGCAGGCCACGCTAGAGGACCTGAGCAGCAGGTTAAAGGTAAGTGGCTCTACGGTGACCCCTGCTGGTGGAGCAGCAGAGAAAGTCACATGCATAGGATTCCATTAAGATGCTGTAGGGTCGGCTCAGCTAAGCAGGGTTGATGTGCTTCTGTGTGCAGCCATTCTGAACGAGCTGCTGCAGAGGGAGAACCGGGTTCTTCACTTCTGGACGCTGAAGAAACGAAGGCTGGACCAGTGTCAGCAGTACTTGGTGTTTGAACGCAGTGCCAAACAGGTCAGAACATATGTGTTTGGCTTCCTCATAATAAAAAAAAATAATCATCCTTTAATTTGATTCCATTATTCAGTGAGGAAAACCTGCCATGCTGTGAATGCATTCTGGCCCAGTGATCGATCGCCCTGCTGGTCACGCTAATATGACATTTCCCAGAGTCTGAGCAGACACAGATCATCCTGGCTCCTTTCTGATGCTCGCTTCCCTTCAGCTCAGCCAGCAGCCTTTCTAGAGGAAAAATCATTTCTGTTAGATAAGCCGTATGTTTTGGATAATCCTGCCGAAGCAAAGGCGACCATTTGCATTCTACTAACTGATACTTTTTAAAATCAAATCATTAATGATGCTAATGAACTCTAAACAGGTTCTCTGGAGCTTTTAAAGAAAAACAGGCTCACAGCATCACAGATCATCCATAATATTTGGTTAAGCAGAAGAAGCTTGTCTTCCTACTTGTTTCATGCTTAGGTCGATCTTAGTTGTAGATTCCTAAGTAATGAAGCCATAAACTAGATGGTCTTTTCCCCTCTGTGATCCACTTGAACGTGCAAAAACAAACCGTTAGGTTAAACTAATTACATCAAGAATAAAAAACATTATAGATATTACATTTCCATAAAAATACAATAATAAATGAAGATTAGGAGAAATGTAAATGAGATGAAAAAACTGTGTGGCTCTACTCCAATTACCCGACTAACACTGAAGCAGAGGCCACTCCCCTAAACATCCAGAAATAAACCATGCACATTTGCAAATGAACTTCAGTACAATTGCAAATATTTAATATCCTTACAAATGAGAACCTTTTACTTTATGATATTTACTGTAAATTTTTGATGTGTTAAGGAAAACCCTCGTCCCAAAGATAAAGCTTGTTTTATTTCTGGGATTTCTCCTAAACAAGCATCAACCTCAAATCTGGAGCTGATGGTTGCCGATGCCATTTCTTTCTGCTGTTTTTATTTTTTTTTAGATATTTAGTTCAACTGTCCTGCTTTGGTTCAGAACCTGTGATGAAATAAATCTGTCACACTGCAAAAAATGTAAATCAAATTAAGTAATTTTTTTCTTAAAATAAGTGCATTTTTTCTTGAATTGAGGGCGTACGTTAGACATTTTGCCAATGAGACGAGATAATTTACACTTGAAATAAGAAAAAAAAACTGCATTGTCTTATTTCAAGTGCATATTATCTAATTAACTTATTCTAAGAGTAAAAATACTAATTTCATTGGCAAACAATCTTATTTTCCTGCTCAAATTAAGAGTAAATTCACTTAATTTAAGACATTTTCACTTATCTCTAGATAATTTTTGCAGTGTACATCAAATTTACACCTCAGGGGGAAAAAGTGATTAATAAAGTCTCCCCGCACTGCAAAAACAATCTAAAAATAAGTAAAACTTTCTTAAAATCAGTGCATTTCCCCTTAAATTGAGTAGATAAATAAGATGATTTGTCAATGGAATGGGTTTTATTTTTAAAATAAGATAATTAGATAATATTCACTTGAAATAAGAAAATGCAATTGTTTTCTTCTTATTTTAGATGTAAATTAGCTTATTCCATTGGCGAAGTGTGTCACTTACCTCCTTAATTCAAGAAAAATGCCCTTAGTTTAAGAAAAAATGGCTTATTTACATTTAGTTTTATGCAGTGAAGGTTAAGAACAGCAGGAGTCAAGAGGAAATATTCCAGCTCTGTCTCTTTAACTCATTTGTAGAGGACTTTGGATTTTATTAAAAGCTCTAAAATTAAACATGTTTTTAACCCACCGAATAAATTCCCTCAAAAAAAAAGGTGGATTTTTTTAAATAATCATTTAAGGTTTGGGTTATTCCGCCGCAGTCAGCAATATTTGAGATGAATCCGTCTCTGGATCTTATAGATTTCTGTTTGTTTCCAGGCTTTGGACTGGATTCAGGAGACAGGAGACGTTTACCTGACTACACATACATCTCCTGGGGACAGCAGTGAGGAAACACAGCAGCTGCTCAACGACTACCATCACTTTAGACTCTCTGCTAAGGTACGCTGTGTGTCTGGAGGACAGGAACGAGGATGAAAACAAGCTGGGATTTAAGAAATAAAACTAAATGTTTGCTTTTTGATTTTTGTGCTTTGAGAAATTTTTGGTCTCAAATAAACATAAAAGATGTTACAGAGTTTGAAAAACTTTGCTGTTAGTTCGAAAAAGTTAGAAAACATTTTACCGGACTTTTTTTTCCAAGTTTAGAGATGTTTCGCTTCCCATCCAGGAAGCTTTTTCAATTCAAAATGTCAGGAATAGTGTTGAGTTCGAGTTCGTATGCAGTAGCCCAACAAAGCCTTGTTTTATGCAAATAGAAAAGTACCACCCCCTAGGAATGGGGGTCGTTAGGATTCTTTGTTCGCCCTCAATGCCCAATACCTGTCTATGTCTCTGATAGGGGTGTAGTTAAAGGGAATTGTTGGCCTGGCTGACTAGGCGAGGTCTTCTGTTCCCCTGTAAAGGGGTTGGGGTTGCAGTGATAGCGGGAAGGAATCAACTCAATTGCTGCATCGTAGGTTTTTGAAAGTTTAAAGATGAGTCCAGCCCCTCTATTTAAGGCTGGTTTTTCTTTCCTAACATATACCCCATTTACACTACCCTTGAAAACCCGTGCTGAGATCGGTCTGTCGGGTTCACAAAATGTAGATTTTTGCTTAAGAAGAACTGAAATACACAATTTATGGATACAATTCCTGCAGGAAGGAGAGACAGTTGAACCCCAGATTTAAACGCACTGTCTCCCACTGGACCTCCTCCTCAGAGCGTTTATTAACAGAACATGACACATGGTTACAAACAGAGTATTGTTCTGACAGAACAATTGATCAGTTCATGAAGACAGAATGCTCCATCAGAATGACAAGGCAGGATGGTCTCCTAACTGGATCATGAGACAGGAGTGGAGCATCCCCTCGCACAAATGTTTCATAAACACACATTAATTTTATAATCATCATTGAATAAACCTAACACGGTCCAAGCTCAGTAACTGAGATAACTTATCGTGTGTAAATGGAAAGCAAACTGAACTGAACCGAGCTAGACACAACCGAACCGAGATAACTGCAGACCAGTTCCAGAGGTGGGCTCGGCTCGGTTTTTCCCTGGCTCGGTTCTCTGATAACAAGAGCGCATGAGCAGAACGCGTCATCTCCGTCTGGCTGCACATCGGTAATGCCCCTCCGAAAGTTGCTTGCCAACTATCACAAAACAGAAGAAGAAGAAAAACTATGAACAACAATCGAAATCTTCTCTATGCAACATTTTAAATAATGGCTTCAAAAGAGTGTGGTGCGACCTGGGATGATAATAATAATCAAGCATAACTTTCTGAATGTGACAGGCGCTGCCATTTTGATATGCTTGATTCCCTCCTTCTTCGTCTTCTTCTTCCTGTGCTTTATGGCGGTTGGCAAACAACTTTTGGTGCATTACCGCCACCAACTGCTTGATTCCCTCCTTCAATACTGGCAGTAATACCGCAGATCGTCACTAGGAGGCGAGGAGTCGAGGAACCGAGATAGCGTGATGTGTAAACGGTCGTCAGATCGGTTTTTCAAGGGTAGAGTAAATGGGGTAATAGATGGCTTAGTTCACGCCGCTCTCAAACCACCTATTTTCTTTGTCCAAAATTCTTTGTCTTTGTTTTTGAACGTTTTCGAATCTTCACCAACATATTTGCTGTCAGTTTCAATAAAAACTCTGAGTGATTATAGGAAGGATAAACAGCCAAGCTGGGATCTGAACTAGTAATATGGATGAAATGAATTCTCTAAGTGTTAAACTTGGACTCTGCCTCTATGTTGGTCAGTGTAACCCTGAGTGTCCCATCAACTTCCAGCAAACCAAGGAGAAGGTGAAGCTTCTGATCCAGCTGGCAGACAATCTGGTGGAGAAAGGCCACGCCCACGTGTCGGAGCTGAAGCGCTGGGTCAGCACGGTGGACCGCAGATACCGGGACTTCTCTGTGCGCATGGCCAAATATCAGGAGAGCCTGGAGAGGAGCCTGGGCGTCAGCTCTGAGGTGAACCATTGGACAGGAGCCAGCATCTTAGTGACAGAGGTTAGAAATGGTTCCAAACGCTGAGAAAAGGTTCGTTCTGTCTGCAGGACAATAAAGACCTGGAGCTGGACATCATGCCTGCAAGTTTGACGGACGACCCTGAGGTCAAACTACGGGATCCCAATCATGAGGTCAATGAGGAGAAAAGAAAGTCGGCCAGAAAGAAAGAGTGAGTCCTTTCCTTAATCTGTCCTGGCTGTGTGTTTCCTGGACGGGGCCACCTGTGGAGCTCAGAGTTGCCTTTTTTTATTTTTTTATCTCTGCTTCTTTTTTTATCTGCTTCTGTCTCCTTGAACCCGAGTCAGCCTCAGCAGATGGCCGCTCACACTGAGCCTGGTTCTGCTGGAGGTTTCATCCTGTTAAAAGGGAGTTTTTCCTCTCCACTGTCGCTACAAGCATGCTTAGTGTGAGGGATTGCTGAAGAGTCAATGAGTCAATGCAATTAACTGGTTTTCCTTAGATAGAAAACTTTGAATCAATTTGACTGTATGATCTGGTGAACTGTAAAGTGCGTTGAGGTGACATGTGTTGTGAATTGGCGCTATAGATATTAAACTGAATTGAATTGATTTGAAAAGTTGACCTGCATTAAGTTTGCCTCCTTTACTCTGATACTGGAGCCAGTTATGTTTTACATCTTTGTGTCGTTAAACTCTCACATGATGCCGCTGTTCTCTCTCTCCTCCACGATGGAGAGATGTTTGGTTTAATGCTATGAAGTCAGAGTTCTGCAAAAACTTCACAAGTTTAAAAAATACTCATATGAGTATTTTTATTTGAAGCACACATAAAATACTTTCCTCTACTCACCACCATCTTTGATTGAGACAAAATTGGTCTCAGTCAATTCAGATACATTTGAGCTGCAGATTTTTTGTTTCTATTGCCTTAGTTATAAGGTTATGAATCAAAGGTCAAAAGGTCATCCAGTCCTCAGGTTCTGCATCAAGATTCGAAGTTTTATTTTATTTTATTTTTTCGGGCTGCTACACTGAAATACAGGCCATCTGTGCTCTCTGCCCCCAGGGCTCTGTCCAGCGCATTTCAGCACCAATGCTGGCTACACTGAAAGCTGTAAAAATCCCACTGAAATAATGCCAATATGCTGACAGTTAAATGACATTAACAGCCATGGAAACTGGCTTTTTAAACACATTAACCTACATATTTGGACAGAGCGTTTGAAAATGTGACCAAAATGTCCTTCAGACTCAGGCAGGTGAACAGATGAGCTACAGCCCCTCCAGCACACAGAGAGGCAGCTTTGAAAGCAGGGATGAAATTACCCGCTTCAGAAGGATCCCAAACGGCCAAACTCACCAATAGGGTTTATTTCTAACCTAGAAATATAGCTGCCTTACCCCCCCCCACAGGTGGATCAGAGCAGCATCTTTGGGTAGATCTCATAGCTTGTGTGTTACAGGTATGAAAAGTAAGTTGCTTTGTGTTGCTAAAATCCCGTCTTGGTCACAGGTTCATCATGGCTGAGCTGCTGCAGACAGAGAAGGCCTACGTCAGGGATCTTCAGGAGTGTCTAGAAGTGAGCAAACGCGTCGTTTTTCCTCCATGTCGCTCCTTGTCTGGTTCTTGGCTCTTATTCTGCTGACTGCCTCTTTCTCTGTGTCAGACCTACCTGAGGGAGATGACCAGCGGTGAGGAGGAGATTCCTCCAGGCATCGCCAACAAGGAACAAATTATTTTCGGCAACATGCAGGAGATCTATGACTTCCACAACAGGTAAGCTCTAAGGAGATTGTTTCCGCTGCAGTTTCTGTGGCGATGAGATGACATAAAAACTGGATTCTTCTCTCTGAAGTTTCAGGCTTAAGACAGAGAGTCTTTTATGTTACCGTTTCTGTTCTTCTGTGCATCTTTAAGGTTCGGTTACACAGACAGTTCATGGACTGCCTCTAACCTCCTGCTGAAAGATCTAAACTCAGACTATTGAGCTTTTTCATGAATTATCAACCCAAACCTTAAACTCTCCATGACCTTTTTTTTTTTCTTCTTTTATGTCTTATTAAAAAGTAGAAGAAGAAGCTAAGCCAATCGGTGTTCTGTGTGTCTCGATCTCAGCTCCCTTCAACCAATCAGCATCAGGAATGCATATTTAGCTCCCTGGAGAAAAAATCTCTCTTCACAGCACAGAGCTCGTTTATAAAGAGGCACTATGATGATGTCACAGTGACACTGCGGTAGATTGGGAGTAATGTAATGGCCTTACGACTGTAATTAGATTACCTTTTTAATAGAATAAAAACTACTGCAGTTACTAAGACTGTGTTGGGGATGGTCAAAGTTTATTGTTAGTGTTAAAAATCACTGATAATCGATCGATCCTGAACGATTGAGGAGGTGTTCCTAGATCAGAGAGCAGTGGAAGGTGAGTGAGCTGGATGTTCGTTAGGTAGACAGATGGTTAGGAGTCAGAGTCGGGTCTGTTTCCTGTTGGATGTCGCTCTGGGATGAAGGTGATCCTCCTTCTTCTCTTCCAGTATTTTCCTGAAGGAACTGGTGAACTATGAGCAGCTTCCAGAGGATGTGGGCCACTGCTTTGTCACCTGGGTGAGAAGTTTTACTCCTCATTGTCTCCCTTTATATTCACTTTTGTTTTAAACTTGGCCTGATTTATTGAAACTCTTTTTTTTTCAGGCTGATAAGTTCCACATCTATGTGGACTACTGCAAGAACAAACCCGACTCCAGTCAGCTCATCCTGGAGCACGCTGGCAGCTTCTTTGACGTGAGTAAAACCCCAAACTCATCTCTAATTATATCCAATTAGTTTAGGGATTTAATAAAGAATTAGAACAGTTGTTTTCAGGGTTAAAAAAAAAAAAGAAATCAGAGCATCAATTAAAAAAATAAAAGTCCATTACTAAACATACAGCTCCACTAAAATTGGAATTATTGCCCCTTAGGAAGCGAAAGAATAAATCTTATCCTGCTTTTATCATTATAAACCACCTTGGGAAACGTTTCATTGTTTTAGTCAGATACTCAAATACAATGAAAATAAATTGATCATATTATGTAAGATAAATCCATCAAGTCTAATGACAAAGTACAGCACAGTAGAAACAAAGTTTGTGACAAAGATACAGTAAAATGCTTTCCCCAAACAGCGAACCTTCAAGCTGCTCCAAAGAAACCAATATTTTACTCTCAAATGGGACAAGATGTTTAAAAAAGTTGATAATTATACCTGACTTTCTCAGCACAAAACATCACTGAAGGTCTGTTTCAAGATGTCTTCATTTTTCATCTTATCTCTGCAACAGGAAGCGTAAACGTTTACTAAGTTGGGTGTTTCAGCATCATAAAGAGCACAAATAAACATTAACGCTGGTTTAAAGGCTGACAACAATGGCTGGCTTTAAACATCTGGATATGGCCTGAAAGCAAGGTCCAACTAATTAACAGAATAGAAAGACTTTTATTGTCCCAGAGTAGAGATTTAATTCTAATATTTTTGCAGCAAAACAATGAAAAATAATATTCACAAAAGTAGAAGCCATTTAATTGAAACAAGTTATTTATTCCTGTATGTAGAATTTAGATCTCTAAATAATCTGCATCATGTTTTTTGTATGAAAAATGTACCAGATGTTTATTGTATGATTTTACAGAATGATTTTAACATGAATTAGGTTTTAAAAAAAAATCATTATTATTGTTATTTCTTCAAAAAGCTTGGGGCCTGATCTTTAGAGGGTTAGGGTGTCTTAAAACACTTTCAAAGAAGGTTCAGAGCCAACAAACTAGCAATTTCGAGATCGGCCATTACGCTCGAAAGTAACTACAGCAAGTTGAGAGAGATGAACTGAGACGGTACTGAACAATAGATGGCAGTATTAAAATTATCTATGTAAACAAACCTCATCACTTGAGAAGGTAGGTGATGCGGACGTCGTGGAAGACATTTTGTCCAGTAACGCTCGCCGTACTGTTGGGAGGGGAGAAGCGGTGGGGGGGGGGGGGGGGGGGGGGGGGGGGGGGGGGGGGGGTGTTCATGTTGCTGCGGTCTGCAATCTGGACGTTTGATGTCGCTGAAAATTACACACTGTAGCTTTAAATACATTAGCGCTCCAACTAGAGTTTCATCTGGGGCCCCCCCACCAAATTGACAAAGACTCCTGAATAGGTGTCAAAACATCTTTAAAAACAGTGAGCAAAAGACCAGTTACGGTACCTTCCAATTTCAGCTTGTTTGAGGTTGCCATGACCCGGATGACTGAGAATTTACACATATTTGAACGTCCTCCTCTCAGTATTTTGCACATTTTGATGATGAGCATATGATCTGCATATTATTTAACACAGCGGTTATATGTCAGAAAATATTTTCACGGACCGGACTTTAAAGTGTGAGGGGTAAATACGATAAAAATAAATGATACGACTGGCATAAAATCAAATACAAACAGCATAAAAATAAAACTCACCAATATGTTGAATTAGTGGGAGCCCTGATTTTGTTTCTCTGAAACAAGCCGGTCCCATCTAGGTATAATTGGAGACAATGACAGACAAAGTGTGCTCCTGATGTCCAGTCTGCTCCGTAGCTTTGTGTTGGTCGCTGTAACCGCAGAAAATCCCGCTTCACAAAGATAGGATGTTATAGATAGGATGAGTCTTGACCTGAATTAACCTGTGTCAAGAGGCACAGATGCACCTCTGATGTAATTTGGAGAGAATACCGCAATTCTTTATATTTATCAAAATAAAACATCACTCAGACTCTGATCATCGATAAATTATATATGTTTATTTTTTTACTGTGCGGCCCGGTACCAAATGACCGACGGATCGGTACCGGTCCGCGGCCCGGTGGTTGGGGACCGCTGTTTTAGATCACTCGCCACCTTCCCAGTCATTGCGTGTACAAAACAAACAAAACAAAAGCTCCTGCAAATTAGCAGCCCTAATTGGAACCTTTGAAGATCAGACACTTGGTCTCTAATAGCTACTTTTAACCCAAATTAAACTGTTGAACCAAATTAGTTTTTTAACTAAATGTTTACCACTTGGATACAGTTAAAGGCCAAAACAAAGAGTTATTTTAGAGTAGAACAAATAGTCAAGAGTTTAGATTTGTTAAGGTGATCATGCTGAAAAGTGTTTGTGTTGTTTTTTGTGAGAACAACAGAATGAAGACAGAAAAGGACAGAGCAGAGAGAGAGTAAATAGGCAACCTGATTTAAATAACCAACCAGTCCTAGCATGTGCTGTGTAGTTCCTCCTTTTAACCAGCAGGTGGCTTTGTTTAATCACAGAACACTTGTTAAACTAGAAGCAGCTGTGTTCAGACCACATAATAAAACATTTCAAAGTTTATCATTTAATTCTAATGGAGAACTGATGCAGACCGTTTTTACCTGCAATAATCATCTAATCTTTAAATAAAACTGTTTTTAGATGGACACAAAAATACAATTCCAACCACCCGTTACACATTGGCAACAAAATATACTCAGAAAATGAAGTAGCTTTAAAAATACTGTTATATCCACAAACCTCCACTAATCCTGTTTATGGGTTTATGTGACACAACAGCATATAGTTTATCATTTTATAATTAAAAGCAAATTTAAGAAAATAAAAAAATAATTTAGAGGTATGTCTCTACCAGCTGTCCTCATCTAGAGACTGCAAATATCTTCAGCTCAGTCAGACTGGAAGCAGAGGGAGTGTGAACGTCACTTCTCTGTTCATGCTTCCTGCTCTCTGTTCCATTTAGGACTGACTGTGTTTGGATGTGACTCATTGAATCGTAGCTCTAACTGTATGTTTGGGGTCATGGTGCTGCTGGATGCTGATCCTGATTAGGCAGAATCCATTCTCCCATCAACTCTGACCACCTCTGCTGTCAATGCTGATGAAAAGTTTCTCCCAATCCATGATGCTGCCACCACCATGTTCTATAGTGGAGAGTTTGTTTCTTTGTTTTTCAGGTAATGTGCTTTTCAGCGAATGTAAGATTTTTCTTTTCAGATTTTCTGTTTGCATTACAAGGTCACAAGTACATAGCAATGAAATGGACTCTCTGCATTTATCCCATCCCCTTGGGGAGCAGTGGGCTGCCATTGTGCGGCGCTCATGGAGCAGTGTGTGGTTAAGGGTCTTTGCTCAGGGAGCCAGAGTAGCAGTCTGTGGGATTGGGGCTTGAACTCAGAACCTCTGGATTCTAAGTGGAACACCCTGACCACTAGGCCACAACTCCCCTCTGCATGCAGTCCAAAAGAATATCAGTCTGGACCTCAGCTGACCAAAGAATCTACTTCACTCCCTCCACTGGTCACTTCACGGGACACAAATGAGACATCTAATCCAGATTGGAAAAGCCTCTTCAACCTGAACCATGAATCTCTGCAGCTCCTCCAGAGTTTCCATGGGTCTCAGTCCTGCATCGTTTCCAGTTTAGGTGGACAGCCATGACCTCTGGGTGTCAAACACATTTTATACTAGACTACTGTGGCATCGTCAAGTCCTCTTTTCTTTACAAAGAGCTCAACTATCATTTAACTTTACTCTCATTTACTCGCAGTTTTCATCACTTTGTTCAAATTAAAATAACAAATGTGCCTTTTTTGACCATCAGTTTACAGCCTAGTGTTATGATGTTTGCTGACAGACTTCTGCGCCTTACACTATAGATCAGATCCATGATCAAATGCATTGATGATGAGATTTATTTCAACACAGATTAACCCTGGTTGCTAATTAGATGATTTTTAAAAGCATTTATTGGTTTTTATTTCCAGCTATCAGAATAAAAAGGGACAATGCCTGTAGATGATAATAACAAACACTCAAATTCCCTTTAAATGAGCTTTAGTTTATGTGGGAATGAATATTCATTGTGAGGAGTGCAGCTGCAAAAAATTGAGCTAATGCACTGCAAAAAATGTAAACCTAAATAGTTTTTTTTTCTTAAAATAAATGCATTTTTTCCTGAATTGAGGAGGTAAGTGAGACACTTGCAAATGGGGCAAGACAATTTTCCTTTAAAATAAGAAAAATACTAATGCAATGTCTTATTTCAATGCATATAATCTGATAAGTTAATCTAATTATCTTATTATGAGAGGAAAAACACTCATTCTATTGGCAAATCGTCTTCTTTACCTGTTCAAATTTGGGTAAATACACTTAATTTGAGACATTTTTGCTTATTTCTATTGTCTTGAAGATGTAATTGCAGTAAACAATTTCCTTATTGGGTCTGAATTTGAATAGACAACACATTTTAGTTGCTTTTTTGTAAAGAAAACAAAAAATTTGTTTTCAAATCAGTTTAATTATACAGCATCAATTCACAACATGTTCTCTAAATGCACTTATCAGAGACAATCCAGTCAGATTAGTTAAAAGTTGAGGAAATCCAACCATGCATCATTTTTTCTTTATCTGTCACATGAAAACTTAAAGATTAAAGTTTAATGTTCAGAAATGTAGCAGAGCTAAAACATTGTGGTTCTGTTTAATTGCAGCTCATTGAGGATAAATTGTAAAAGAAAGAATTTGACGAAGTGGTTTGTGATGCTTTGTTGTTGGTGAACAGGACATTCAGCAGAGACGTGGGCTGGGAAACACGCTCAACTCCTACCTCATCAAACCAGTCCAGAGAATCACGAAGTACCAACTTCTGCTGAAGGTAGAACAGCCGGACAACCGATCCGCTCTGACAGATCCAGCAGCAGCAGTCTGACTTTTACTGTGTCATCATGCAGGAGCTGCTATCATGCTGCGAGGAGGGTAAGGGCGAGATCAAAGACGGTTTGGAGGTGATGCTCAGTGTTCCTAAGAGAGCCAACGACGCCATGCATTTAGCCATGCTGGAGGGTAAGACTGTTTCCACTCTGCTGATAAACAGCTGCTCTGCATCTGGGAGTTTAACTGTCAACCTCTACCTCAGGCTTTGAGGAGAACCTGGGGGTTCAGGGTGAGCTGATCCTCCAGGACAGCTTCCAGGTCTGGGACCCACGCGCCCTGATCCGAAAGGGGCGGGACCGCCACCTTTTCCTGTTTGAGTTTTCATTGGTCTTCAGCAAAGAGATCAAAGACTCAGCAGGAAGGACAAAGTACCAATACAAGAACAGACTACTGGTGAGAGCTGAGCGCAGTTCCCCGTGTGACCTGCAGGGGCCCCCCTTCTGTTTGTTTAAAGGTTTTAAATCTTGCTTCTGTTTTGTTTGCAGACGGCAGAGTTGGGAGTAACGGAGCACATAGAGGGTGACCCGTGTAAATTTGCTCTGTGGGCAGGAAGAACCCCCTCCTCTGATAATAAAACTGTGCTAAAAGTAGGTCAAAATATATCAAAGAAGTCAAAGCTTTTGAGCGTCATTGTTCCCCGTTTCTAAACAGAGAAAATCTCTCCTCCAGGCTTCCAGCATGGAAGCCAAACAAGAGTGGATAAAAAACATCCGTGAGGTGATCCAAGAGAGAATGACTCACCTGAAGGGGGCGCTGAAGGAGCCTCTTCATCTCCCTAAAACGCCGGCGCTGACCAAGCCCAGGAATTGTCCAAAGAGGTCAGCCAGCAGCTCTACTCCCACCTGAATACATAGAACATCCCATCAGCTAAACATTTCAATTGCTTCCATGACTGAATCGCCATGGTTACTCGCATAGATGGAGATCATAGAGATCAATCATTCAGTTATTTATTAGGGTATCTGCACTGTGAAGTGAAATGAAACGACTCCTTTAGACTCCTTTCAGAATATCAGCTGAAAATCAGAGGTGTCAAGTACTTAAGTACAAATACTTCGTTACTGTACTTAAGTACACTTTTTAGGTATCTATACTTTACTCCCTTACTTGTTTTTCCTCCTACTTCCTACTTCTACTCATTACATTTTCATGCAAGTATCTGTACTTTCTATTCCTTACATTTTTAAAACAAACGTTACCCGTTACTCTTGTCTTCGGTTTAATGCAGAGGTCACAAATTAGCGGACCGCGGTCCGGTGTTATGCCGAAAAGTGCATCCCTGCTGAGATATGCATCACCGGTCGCGGGGGCGCGCCTCGCTCTGTACAACTGCATATCAATGAGGAAAACGGATTAAAATATGACCAATGGAGCTACTTGTTGGTATATTAATGAAATACAAGCCTTTAAATATTCCTCTCGTGGGGAGAAAATTGTGGTTATTTGGCAGATTCGGTTTACAAAAGTACGGGTGTTATAAACAAAATAGAATCCAAAGATTTTTTTCTGTGGTACGGCTTTATTTGTTGTAGTCTCTTGTTATTCCAACACAACAATAAACAGTGATAGCCGTCGTGATTTTTGAAACTGCAAAGCTTTGTCTTAAGCAGAAAATCAAATGCGCATCTACACAGACCAGTGTGATGCATTCACGAGCTTCAGATAGCTATGGTGCATTCAGGAGCCTGGGACATTTCACACTTACAGGGAAAGAGAACTAAATGAAACAGAACTTAACTCATACAATAATGTATTTATTTAGAAACAGTGTGGGCTTTCTTACAATACTGAATGCTCTATAATTATATTTCTGTTATTTTTTGATTATGCACATCTGCTAGCTTTTTATTCTAAAAAATCTATAATATTACAGCAGCAAATTATCAAAGTTTTTCAAAAGCCTGTTTAAAAGCTCCAAATGAGGCTTCAGATCATACAGAGACAATTACACTGTCATTGGTTTACAGGCAGAATTAGCATTTGTTGACCCTTGTCCTTTAACTACTGATGGATATACAGGAATACAGTCAGTGTCAACTCCTCTGAGATAGCACGGGATGAAATTTTTGGCAATTTCTATTTTTTTTTTTTACTTAAAAATTCAGTGTATAACATCAATGCATAAATACCTCGTTTTACTTCAGTGTTAAATTCTGTTTTAAGTAACAAAATTTAAAAATGTCTCTGGACCTTTACTGGTTGATGATTTTCTTTATCCGGACCCTGTTGATTTTTAATTGGTTACCCCTGGTTTAATGTTTATAAATATTTATTTCCCGTCATGTGCTCCATCCAATGCAGATCATTGGCTCCAACCACATCTAGTGAAAACTAGTGTATTTGATGAGTCATATAACGCGAACACTCATTGGTTAGTTAAAGGAAATTATCAGAAGCAAGCAGGTGTTTGAACTGCAAATGTGAATTGTCTATGCCATGCTGCAATGTAGGATTTAAAAAAAAGATTCTGAAATGTGTGAAAGGTCGGACACAGGCGAGAGCGTATCGGGAGACGGAGACCAACAAGACCTCCCTCATCCTTGGCCCTATCTCAAAGAATTTTTCAAAATAGTTGTAAAATGTAGCTTTTAATTCATATAGAGGCATCTGGCTGTTTATTTAAAGGTTACTTTATACTTTTATACTTTAAGTAGATTTGGAGCACATACTTTTTCACTTTTACTTGAGTAAAGAGGTCGAGATGATGCTTCAACTTTTACCAGAGTGTTTTTAAACGGCAGTATAACAAATGTGTGTACTTTTGACACCACCGCTGAAAATAAAAACCTTCTAACTGTGTCCATAACGCCGGGCATACACTGTACGATTTTTTTCAGTTGTCGCCTGCAGGTACAGCTCACTGTACGACGAAACTGGCTCTTTGGACCCTCTCCTATGACTCTTAATAATGTCTAAAAGTGACCCTAAGAACTATCTGTCTAACCTGTCTCAGAAGCTGTAACGGTTTTTAGAATATTTTAATTGAATTTTCACTGCAGAGTGACATGTTAAGAAAAAAAAAATGTTTTTAGAGCTATTTTTTTATTGACGTAGAAATTATGTTTCATAATTATTTTGAAAGCTAAAAATACAAATTAATAAACTGTATGTTGTTTAGACGGCAACAAATATCCTATTAAAAAAGTTAACAAAAATATTAGGTAGTATTTGGTCATACAATATTTTGTACCTCTAAGTGACTTTTAATTAACTGAACTCAGGGCTAAACGGCTCTTTGGATATGAAAGCTTGCAGACCCCTGTACTAGCTGATCAAATCAATTCAGTTTAGTCTGTCAAATAAGCAGCCTGTAGTGTCTTTAAAGGTCCAGCAGGTGTCAGTATTCTGTGAGACAGTATAAACGCAGTATCAATACAGTTTGACAAGGTGTCAAAACGCTTCACTAGGTCCCTGTAAGAACATGACGCTGTAGAAGTACTGCTGCCATATACTGTAGTAATGATCCCATAGGCTGACTATTATGGGATACATACAGTTTTGGTTAAATAAATACTTTCAGATTTGACAGGAAACAGATGATTTCTTTTCAAGTGCAAAAACTAGAACTTGCAGAACTTTTTCTATTCCTGTCATGAGTATAATTGTGTTTGTTGAGATGTGAGCAGAGAGATGAGGACGTTGGTAGTGACAGTGCTGTGCATGTCTGGCTGTTCTCAGGGAGGGAGAAGACGGAGACAGCCAGGGAGACGGCAGCAGCCAACCAGACACCATCTCCATCGCCTCCAGGACGTCCCAGAACACCATGGACAGTGACAAGGTAGGAGTTTCTCTCTGAGCGCATGTGGAAGGAGAGGAGCCTCCGGATGAAGGCCGGCTCTGTAACGAGCTGATGACCCTCACCTGTGGCTGCGCTACAGGGTCTCCTCAGCAGCTACTATGGGCTGCAGCAGGGGTGGGAGGGAGGCTCTGTGGTAAACAGGCAGCATGGAGGCCTGCTTGTTCTGGGAGCTCCATGTGAAGCAGAGCTGCTTCTGTGTGTCTGAGGAGTTGGTCATGTAGGCTGATGAAGAGCGATGAAGACTCTCTTCAAGATGTGTTCGGGTGTCTGTTCTGCTGATGCTGCGTACCGACCGGCTTCCCACATCCAAGTAAGACGTAGAGTTTGCTTCCTCAGATTCCTCCTCAACTGTCAAATCTTCCCCATGTTTGTTTGAACCTATTTAGCAACATTTCATTCATCCTTAAAAACAAACCAGAAGATTCTTCAGTTGTTTGTAGAATCTCTAGGAAATCTGAATATTTGTCTTTTATTTAAAGGAGTAAATGAGTTGGTTCTTGTGCAACTCATCAGACTACAGCACAAACATTAAGAGTTTTGAATCTATTAAAGTTTTATCTTTTAAATATCATCTTTATAAATTATGTCAGTGGTTGCAGTAATGTCTCGCCTAAAATTCCAAAAAAAGTTAAAAAACAATCCGCTGGACTATGTTTCCAAGTTTAAAGATGTTTTGCTTCCCAAACAGAAAGCTTTTTATCAAAATCAAAATGTTAACATTAAACGTATGATTTGTACCACCAGGAAGAGAGATCTGCTCTTTAAAGAGTTTATTTTTTGCCTTTCTAGTCTCATTCTAAGCCAAAGCGAGGCTTTGTTTTTGGTCCACTCAATAAAGCCTCAAACTCAACGCTATTTCTGACATTTTGATTAGAAAAAGATTCCTGGATGAGAAGCGAAACGTCTTCAAACTTGGAAACAAAGTCCAGTGGATTTTTATTTATTTATTTATTTACTTCTTTGGAATGACTATGACCTAGATGTCTGAGAATCTTCACCTTCATATGTCTCCCCTAAAATGAAAGCGATATAATATCTAATGAGACTAGAAAGGAACAGATACACCCTTTAAAGAGCAGATCTTTCTTCCTGATTGTATAAATAATACGTTGAATGTAAAACATCTTCTATCAACACCAAACCAATTAAATCCACTTTTTTTATTTTGCAGATTTTTTTCCTGTTAATGCTGCATTATTTTACACATTCATCTAGATGATGTTTTAGGATCCATGTATGGATGCTTCTCTTTCAGGACAGAATCAATCCCAGTTAGGCAAAATTCTGCTAATATTTAAGTTTGAACGTTGTTAAAATCAGAGCAGCTTTGCTGGAAGACATTCAACCGTCACAGCAGTGTTGCTGTCGGCAGCGTCGGCCTGCTGGTCTCTACTCTGATCCAATCAAACTGATAATTGCCTCCTTTTCCCTGCAGCCAGTTTCTCTGTGTGTTTCCTCCCTAAGCAGAGTGTTTAGTTAATGAAGCAGTTTTATTTTGGTGTTTTTCTGATTGTAAATAGTTGGGCTTTCTTCAGCTCTCCAGATGGCAGGACTATATTTTCTAATTCAGATATTTCTGGTTCATCCCGCAACCAGGCAGGGGCGGATTTAGGAAATTTGGGGCCCTAGTTAAAGATAGGCAGGGGGTGTCTGAATAGAGAAGACAACACATAAAACAGACCCATTCTACAGATAGAGAAATGTTAATAGAATAGACATCCATTATTTATTCTAGTTTTTGTTCCTTTTCTTGTTGTTTTCCTCTCTATGTTTTGTACTCAGCTGACTTTTCATGCTGTCTCAAAAAGAAAGATTTTTTTCCAAGCACTAAGCTCACTTAGCTGATTGCTCCTTCCCGTGTTAACAAAAAGTAAATAACCCAGTCCTTCTTTTCACTGTAGACAACCCATGATCTGCTTATCTGTTCTCCATTTTTCATTTGGATGAAATAATAGCTGCATGAATCATGGCAGCAGACAAAGTAGAGGAGAGCAGGAGGCGGGGTTACCAATCTACTCGCTCTGGAGAGCAGAGTTCGCTGCTTTTAGATGTTGTCTCCAGTAGCAGATAAAAGTGGCTAGATTTGGCGCTACACTGCAAAAACGATCTAGAAATAATTGAAAATGTCTTAAATTAAGTGAATTTACTCTTAATTTGAGCAGGAAAATAAGATAGTTTGCCAATGGAGTTAGTATTTTTTACTCTTAGAATAAGTTAATTAGATAATATGCACTTGAAATAAGACAATGCAGTTCTTTTTTCTTATTTCAAGTGTAAATTGTCTCGTCTCATTGGCAAAATGTCTAACTTACGCCCTCAATTCAAGAAAAAATGCGCTTATTTTCAGGAAAAAATTACTTAATTTGATTTACATTTTTTGCAGTGTAGGAGCTTTTTTGAAATTAAAGTGCAAAAGGGGTCTGAAATGTTGCCAAATTTAGCGACAAAAGCGCTAATTTGGCAACACTGCTCTTTGCATCATTTGTTTTCAAATGGTTTGCTGCTGTCTGTTTGGACCTTTCTGAACATGTGCAGCAAATGGACTGATCCAATATGGTGGACACTAATATTATAAGCGTTCTGATGGCATTTTAACCAAAGGATTTTTATCAAAAAACATAGTTAATGTGCACAAATAAGGAATAGTTGTATTAACCATACAATTAAACAGAGTTTAATGTGGCCCCCAGAAACAAGAGTTGGAAAATAGTTGAAAAGAATTTATCAGTCCAGAAGCTGACTTGGATTTGAACCCATTCATTCTAGTTTGAGCTGATTTTTCCTCCCATTTTCTCCTCCTGACCTCCTCTTACTATTACTAGCACACAAACGCACTCGGTGTGATTGTGCCGTACTCGGTGTGATTGTGCCGTACAGTGGGCCCCTTTCACTGCGCCACCCCACGCCCACACACCATCTTCCTCAAAATGTCAGCACCAAGTCGACACAAACACACCATCAGAATGTCCTCAGCAGCTCAGCTTTTGTTTTGCGTCTCGTTTTCCTCTGTCAGTTTCTCCGTTTGTAGCTCTTCCTTCCTTCAGTCTGTTTCTGGTAAACAGTAATTGGGTCTAATTTGCAGTGTGTGTTCCTGCTCATTTAAAGCAGTAATCCTGTCTGCATACAGGATTTTTCTCTTATCGTTGTCTTTAGGTATTTGATGGTATAGAAATGTATTTTTGCCCCTCCAGCAGAAAAAGGAACTCCTTGGCTGCTTTGTGTGGCTTTTTTGTGACTTGGCTCTGGTTTATTTCTCTGTAGATTTGGAAAATTCCAGCTTCCTATTTCTGGATCCTCCTCTGCCTGTTTTCCTGAAAACATAGTTTTTTTTTGGAGCTTGGTGTTTATAGAGTTCCTATCTGATTTTGCCAGCGCAGCTTAAGCTGTGTTTTGAGACGGGCTGAGGTTTGTCCTCTGTGTCCCTGCACTAAAGGCAGCCTGCTGCTGACTGTACCTGTTTGGAATTGGTTGATTGTAAACCTCTAAAGCTTCTAGATTTTATTTATATTTTCCTAATGACTCTGCAATCCACTTTGGAATTTTTTTTTCACTGGTGGAATTCTTGTATTCAAAGTTTTAGGTCGTGATGTAAAGATTTTATTCAGGTGGCAGGTGGATGTATCCCTATTTCAGTACAAAGAAATAGGGATACATCCACCTGCAAGGTGGTGATTATACCTGAAGTTAATGAAATAAATGCATAAACCTAAAACTATTCAGTTTGCATTTGTAAATCTTGTTTATGCACAAAACAGGGCCGGAAAATTGCACACGCTGACTTCCCCAGAAAGGTTGTGGTTTTTAAATATAAAACTGTGGGACAAACTGACCCAAGCACTCACATCTGCAGGTTTTTAGAGAGAGGAGAAACATTTTGTCTGCACAGATGGTGACTGAGGGGACCTCATGATTTGTCTCAGACGTATAATTTTCATTTATATGAAGCTTAAATAATAGATGATCTTAATCAGAACCAAAACCCCAGTGTGATATAAAATGGCACTGATGGTTAAAATATAAATAAAGTAAAAAAAAAATCAAAGTCCTCTAACATGAAGATATTTCCTCACCATCGTTCATCTCTGCTTCACCAGCTCATCAGCTGTTAACCACTGGCTTCTGTGGTTTCTATCTCAGTGAGTTGGGATGAGAGGTTAAGGAGAGCCTGCAGCTGCAGCCATCATCAGGTCATTTGTTTCTGTGCTGTGGTCAGTTTGGAAACCAGACTTAACTGAACTTTTTTTTTTAAATGCTCCTGAAACTGTATGGAGACAACTTTTCGCAGCATTCTAGAGGTTTGAAAAGAGATTAGTCGGTTAGACTTCTGGATCTTTTGTCTTTATTTCTAAATGGCCCAATGGCAGCCATTTTTAATAGGAAATACCCATCCTGGAGGGATCGAGGGGTTAATGACTTTTATGGTGTATGCCTTACTACCATGATGGTGTGAGGAGTCCACAGTGCAGGTGATACATTTCAACTTTTAGACGATGCTCTCATTATCTTGCTGTGAAATCTTTGAAAAACAGCAGAACTAAAAACCAGGTTTGATTTCAGCAGGACCCCAAAATTAAATCCTTAAATAATTGTGTGAATTAGCTCATCTCGAAACATTATCCCATCATTGATTTATTTTAGGTGTTTATGTACAGGTTTCAAGAGTCCCTGTGTTTCATCAATGGAGTTCTTCTTTTAGGGTCATCATCTGACCTTTGAACCAGTTTGGATCTGTTAAGAATGAGGTTAAATGAAGCCTTTCATTCTTGGCTTCCCAGACTGATGGGAAGCAATGATTCCCTAACTTCATTGCTGATACCGTACCACCCTGACGCCATTTTACACAAAGCAAAAAAAAAAAAACTTCGGAAACGGACCAGTTATTCAATGCATTAATTAGCTTCTGCACTTTGGCTGAATGTTTAGTAGGGCTGTCCCAATCCAATATTGATATCAGAAATTAATCAGCCGAAAAAATGCGT